TGCCCAGCTGGCAGCGAGGATGGACAGGCAGGGAAGGCAGACCTGCCCCGGGAGGGGAGGGAAGGGCTGACAGAGGCAGCAGGAGCTGGGTGAGCAGGGCAGAGCCCCCTGCCCAGCAGGACCCCGGCCCAGGAGCAGCACCGCGGACAGAGCAGGGCTGAGCCCGCCTACATTCAGTGTGAGCGGCAGGGGCTGCCCGCACGTGGACGGAGCAGAAACCAAAGCACTTGTGCGCCCCTGCCCTGTCACAGGGAGTCAGGGCAGAAGGCACGATCCCAGGTAAGGGGGATGCACAGGGCTCAGGGGGCTCCCCCTCCCCAGGCAGAGGCGGGAGCTCAGTGCTGTCCCTGCCCTGGGCAGATCCTGATGGGGCAGCTCCAGCCTCACCCCCATTCCCTAGGAGAGGCAGCCAGAGCACCTCAGGGATAAAAGCACCAGCCCCCCAAGCCCCTGTGGCTCCCCAAGAAGGAAAGCCCAGCTCCCCAGGCTGCTCAGCAGCACCAATCCCTCCAGCAGCTCCTACCAACACAAACAGTGGGGCTGGATCCCACAGGAGCCCTGTCCCTCCCACTGGGAGGCCACAGCAGATCCAGGCCAGCCCCTTCTACTTATCGATGAGCCCTCCCTCCTTGAGCTTGAAGTAGAAGAACTTCTCGAGGGTGTTGGCACACTTGCAGTAGTCGCTGTCGGGCGGGTTGTACTCGCGGCAGTTGGTGATGATGCGCTGCAGGTCGGCGATGAAGAGCTTCTTGGTCACGTAGTAGCGGTTCTTCAGCCTCTCCGTCATGGTCTTCAGGTCTGCAGGTGGCACAGGTCAGGATCCCTCCCCAGGCTCCTGCATCCCCCCCAGTCACTGAGCTGGGCATCAGCCTCAAGTCTGAACTCATCCCTTTCTCATTCGGGACTATCCCGAGGCTCCCACTGCCCCAAACACAGACCCCATGATTAATGTGGGGTTCTCAGCCCTCTCTGCTGATTCATGTGGGGTTCTCAGCCCTCTCTGCTGATTAATGTGGGGTTCTCAGCCCCCTCTACTAATTAATATGGGGTTCTCAGCCCCCCTCTGCTGATTACTGTGGGGTTCTCAGCCCCCTCTACTAATTAATATGGGGTTCTCAGCCCTCTTGGCTGATTCATGTGGGGTTCTCAGCCCCCTCTGCTGATTATTATGGGGCTCTCAGCCCACTCTACTGATTATTGTGGGGTTCTCAGCCCCCTGTTCTGCAATCCTGTCCCGGGGTGCTGGACACACCAACCTACCAATGGGGAAGCGGATGATTTCATAGTAGTCTGGTGCCTCTGACTTCTTCACTGGCTCCATGAAGGGCCACGCACTGGGGTGGGTCTGGGGAGAAGAGGGGGCAGTTGGAGCAATGAACACACAACCCTTGGCTGCTCCAGCACCCAGGGGTCCTGCTCTCCCCCCACCTGGGTCACCCCAGCTGTCCCCAAGGACTGCTCATCCCAAGGGAGGCAGCTCAGAGGGCTGTCAGGGGGACAGGGACCCCAGAGTGAGGGTCCTTTCCTGCCCACACCTTGATCTGGGCCAGGAGGTTCTTCAGCATGTTGTAGAGCTGGTCTGGGTCCTTCAGCTCCTTCCTGCAGGACAAAGCCAGTGCCCATCAGCCTCTCTCCGCTCCAGGGCCAGGAAAACACCAAGGCTGAGGCACAGCCTGAGCTGAGCCCCCAGCCCTGCTGCTTCATCAGCAGCACTCACCCCTTCTCCTTCCCCAGTGGTTTCCATCCTGTTTCTCCTGGAAGAAAGTGTCAGTGTCACCATGTCTGCTCTGCAGCCATGGGGAGGGAGGGCAGAGCCCCCTGCCAGACCCCTGCCAGGACTCACGGATGCCAGGGACGCTCTCGATGGGGATCTGCCTCACACCCTCCTTGAAGCAGGTCAGGCCTGGGTAGACCTTGCGGATCTGAGCCTGTTTCCTCTCAATCAGCTTCTTGATGATCTGCAGAGAAAGGGGGTTGGAAGGGAGCAGAGGAGTGGGGGCTGCAGGATGCTCCAAGAACCCCACAAACCCACCATGCAAGGCCAGAGATAACCCCAGCCAGTGTCAATGCCACCAGTGTCCCCTCATTGCTCTGCAAGTCTGCTCGCAGAGCCAGCACAGCCCCACACCTCTCCTCTGCCTTCAGGGGTGGCTGGCAGTCACGTACCCTTGTGCCCACCCCTGGGCCATACCTCCTTCTGCTTCTTGATGATGTGTGACAGCTCGGTGTAGGGGATGCGGGGGTTCAGCTCACACTCCATCAGGGTCGCCCCCTCGTAGTCCTTGATGTACCCCAGGTAGCGGCTCTTGGGGACCTTGATGTCCTTGGAGAAGCCCTAGGAGAGAGGGATAGGTGGGAAGGGGTAGGTGGGAGGGGGTAGGTGTGCAGCAAGGCTGGGAGCAGCTCCCAGGGGAAGGAGCCCACCTGCTTTTTGAAGTAGCCAATGGCATACTCGTCTGCATAGGTGAGGAAGTAGAGGATGTTGTGCTTGATGTGGTACTCCTTCAGGTGGTTCATCAGGTGTGTCCCATAGCCCTTGGGGAAATACCATGAGACAGAGACCCCCCAGGTGGGATAAAGAACCCCCTCCCACCCATGGAAATGGCAGCTGCAAGATGACCTGGAGCAACTACCACAGCTTGGGGCTGAGCAGTGCTGAGCAGGTTTGGCTGCCCAAGGGGGCTGAGAGACCATCCTGCCCACGCCAGGCTTTGGGGGGCTCACCTGTGTGCCCACCTCCCTTCTCTCACCTTCACTTGCTCATTGGAGGTGACAGCACAGAAGACAATCTCCGTGAAGCCTTGGGTAGGGAACATACGGAAGCAGATGCCCCCAATCACTCGTCCATCCTTGATCAGTGCCAGGGTCTTGTGCTTCCTGCGGGCAGCAGGGCCGAGGGTGAGGGGAGCCCCCCACAGCGGCCCCCAGGCACCCCCCAGGCACGCACGGGTCAAAGACGAGGCGGGTGATGTACTCCTTGGGCATGCGGGGCAGCTGGTGGGAGAAGACGTTCTGCAGCCCCACCAGCCACATCAGGATCTTCTTGTTGGATTTCTGGGACAGGGAGTTGCCGATGACGTGGAACTCGATGATGCCGCGCCGCTCCTCCAGCCGCGCCGTCTCGTCCCGCGCCGCGTTGGCCGACAGCAGGCTGGTCTGGGGGCACACAGGGGGGGTCACTGGCACTGCACACCCTCTTTGGGGGAGCCCACCTGTAGGAGCGTCGGGGGTAGGACGGTCGGGACGGACAGAGGTGAGAGATCTCTGCAGCCAGATCATGGAACTTGGGGTTTATTGCAAAGGGCCAAGCGCAGAGCCCTGCTGGGAACTGCCAGCCACAGCTCAGAGCAGGCCCGAGAGAAAAGAGGGGGAGAGAGGATGAGAGGGTAAAAGAGTAAAAGGGGTAAGAGAGTAAAAGGGGTAAGAGAGTAAAAGGCAAGAGCCTAAAAGGCTAAGAGCGCGAAGTTCCCGTTCCAATACAATAAATCATCTTCTGTGTTGAATATTCTAATTCTCACTAACCAATCTAGTACAAGATACAAATCCTGTAGCATTTAACATACAGCCTATAAGAATCATTACATTACCATACTATGTTACATTTTAAACCCTAAAAACTCCTCTTTGGACCCCTTCTGCCAAGTCAGTAGGGTCTGCTCTGACCCTTGGGCCTGTCTGCAAGCAGAGGGTGCTGTTCCATCAAAAGGGGATCACCTTCAGCTGGCCACACCATTGTTTTCCAGTTGTTCAGTAACTGAGGTATCTCAAAGCTTGCTTTCACTTCAATCTCGCTTATAGTTTCCATATTCTCAAAATCTTTTGCCAGGCAATCATATTTATAAGGCTTTCCTGTTTCATCTTCCCCAACACTCACCCCAGCGTGGCACGTGGGGAAAGCAGCTCTGTAGTAATTCAGCCTCCTGCTGGGTGCAGGTTTGCCTCTGAGTAGGCTGCAGGGCTGGATAGCTCAGTCCTTTAGGGGGACTGACTGCCCAATAACCCAAGCAGCTCTCAACAACCTTAGCAAGCTTAAGGAATATCAGCTCTTTTAGTGATTATCAGCTCTTTGTGATTCCAGCTCTTAGCTTGCAAGGTGCCACAGGTTGGCAGGCTCAGGGCAAGAGAGGAGAAGGCTGTTCTGGCACTCCACAGTCTATGAAGGGTTCCAGGGACAGCTCTTCTCCAGAACTGGGCTAAAACAGCCCATTCTGTAGGGTATAGGGGGATCAGAAATTGTCCAATAGCAGGGGTTAAGGAGAAGTGACCTATGGGGTTACACAGAGATAAGCAGGGGTCCAAAAGGTGGAAGAAAGGGCTTCTAGGTATTCACCATGACTTGGCATTTCCTATCTTTAGGCCTCTGCCCTGTAGGCCATGGAGGCACCCCAACATCCCCAGGCCTCACCTCAGGGCCCAGCATGGCAGCAGGGTCTGTGATGGTCAGCATGACCTCGTTCACCAGCTCCATGGGGATGTCTCCCATGACACGGATCCTCTTGGCATCCTCCAGGGTCAGGCTCTCAGGGAGCTTCCTCTTCTCTCCTGGCATAGGAGCAGAGCAGCACATGCAGTGCTGGCAGGGACCATGGACAGTTCCAGCTTTCAGGAGTGGGCTCAGGTGACCTTACCTGGCAGAGGCTCTGGGGTGCTGGTGTCCAGGCTGGTGGCTGAGCTGCTGCTGCTGAGCTTCTTGCTGAAGAGAGGAGTGGTGGGCACAGCAACGGTGCTGACTGCAGCTGCAAGAAACCCATGGTGCCCACGACTGAAAATGCCTTGTGAAAATGCTCAGCCACACCTTAACCCTTTATCCCTCAGCCTCCAAACAGAGGGAATGGGGAAATCCTGAATTATCCTGAAATACCTGGGCGAGACACCAGCTGGGCACCCTCTGCAGCTGGCACAGTGAAATCAGCCTCCCAGATGGGAGAGTTCTCACCGTAGATCTCCTCCTCCAGCATGGAGAGGAACCTGGCAGGGAGTGGCACATCAGCATGCGAGCATGCCAAAGGAGGAGTGCCCTCCAGCAGCCATCCCCACACTGGGCACCTACTTGGGGAAGTGGGTGAGGATCAGGGTCCGTTTCTCTGGCACCAGTTTGTCCTTCTCCACGCGGAATTTCTCCAGCAGCTGCCGGCGCGTCACCGTGAAGATGGACTTGAGGAGGCTGCGCCCAAACACGTGCGTGGTCTCATAGCGGGGCAGGCTGTCACAGCTCTGGGGCACATGGCAGTAGCACAGCCACCTGTGGGACACCAAGGGGCTCTGGAGACAGGGCTGGAACCCAGGAAATTCCTCTGGCTGCACTAGAAGACTCGAGCTCCTGCCCAGGGGGCTCAGAGACCTTGGCACAGAGTCAAAACCACCTGTACTTTTGATTTGAACCCATGGAAACAATTACCAACCTTATATGAGGATTTACAAGCCATGAAAGTTTAAGTAGAATGATAGTGAATTTATCACAGGGTGAAAAAATAATTTTTGGGGTTTTTAGAATGGGGGTTCAGGAGGAATCTGGGTGTGTCCAGCCTTTCTCCTCCTTCTTCTCGGCCTCCATCTTCTGTTGTGATGGTGGCACTTTTAGATTGGTTTAGAGTAGAAGCTCACTGTCTAATATAGGTGATAGGTATTGGGAAGTAATTGTAAATATTGTATACATAGTTTTTAGTATAAAAAGATAAAAGATGGGCAGAGTGCCTCTGACTGTCTTATTGAGCAGACCTCGGCAGGTCAGGAGAAAGAATTTTATAGATAAGAAACAATAAAAAACCTTGAGACAGAGAAATGAAGAGTTCTGACTCCTTCTTCAACTGCTGGGCTGGGAAAAGAGACTTTTTAACACATCTGGGGGTCACTCTGAGCAGCAGGAGAGAACCAGAGACCCCAGAGCAACCACATCCTTGCTGGGAGCAGGGTGGATGAAGGCACTGCTGACACTCAGAAGCACTGGAACCACTGTGTGCCTGCTCTCCTGGTGGACTGATAGTCTGGGAGACCCCAGGATGGCTGGCTCAGTGGCCCCCTGCCCCTCTCACCTGGTGTAGTTGACCTTGTAGGTGGCCACATCATCATTCTGGGAGCGCTGACGGAACTGGGACGGTGTCTCCAGCTTCCAGTAGTTGAGGCACAGCAGGAACATCTTGGAGAGCTCATACATGGTCTGGCGCTCCTTGGGTGGCAAGTGGCTGAACTTGTACTGCACAAAATTCAGGACTCCCTGGGGACAGGAATGCACAATGGGAGGGTGCAAGGGGCTGAATTTGTACTGCACAAAATTCAGGACTCCCTGGGGACAGGAATGCACAATGGGAGGGTGCAAGGGGCTGAATTTGTACTGCACAAAATTCAGGACTCCCTGGGGACAGGAATGCACAATGGGAGGGTGCAAGGGGCTGAATTTGTACTGCACAAAATTCAGAACTCCCTGGGAACAGGATGGCACAGTGGGAGGGTGCCAGGAGCTGCTCTGGGCACTCCCAGACAGTGAGGGGACCGTGCAAGAGCAGCAGAACACAGGACAAGCCATCAGGGCAGTGCAGCAGCCTCACCTGCTCAATGTTGGGTTTCTCAAAGGGAGGGCTCCCCAGGGACCCCTCAACCACAGGCTGGCTCATCTGCAGGATGCACTTCCTCAGCAGCTGCAAAGACACCAACAGACATGGTCAGAAGAGTCCCAGGAACTGGATATTCCAGGAATGGTGGAGGTGGCTGAATGCTGCCATGGGGCTGCTCCAATTCCTACAGCCAGGAAGGCACTGGTGCTGCCCTTGGAGCACACCCACTCATCCCCTAGAACTGCCCTCCTAGGGAATTCCAGGCCAGGAGAGCAGTGACTCCAGAAGAAAGTCAGCATTCCAGCTCTCTGGGCTGTGGGATGGTTCACAGCTTCAGCACCAGCTCCAGCAGAGCACAAACAGCAGGACAGCAACCCCCACAATGACCAGAAACTCTGCACATTTCCCCCCATGAGCGGGGCAGTGAAACCTGCCCAGCCCCAGACTCACCTTGAACAGGTAGAAATACACCTGCTTGGTGTCTGTATCCTCCTCCTTGTGTACTGACATGAAGAGGTTCTCCACATCCACCACCATGCCCAGCAGACGGTTGATCTCCTCCTCTGAGACGTTCTCCAGGTGGGACACATGGTCAGCTGTGCCAGGGAGAAAGCCAAGGAATTATCACCACAAAGAGAAAGCCAAGAGATCAGCACCACAAAGAGAAAGCCAAAGGATCATCACCACAAAGAGAAAGCCAAGGGATCATCACCACAGAAACCCAAGGGATGAGCACCACAAAGAGAAAGCCAAGGGATCATCACCACAAAGAGAAAGCCAAGGGATCATCACCACAAAGAGAAAGCCAAGGGATCATCACTACAAAGAGATCAGGGGATCAGCACCACAAAGAGAAAGCCAAGGAATTATCACCACAAAGAGAAAGCCAAGGGATCATCACCACAAACAGAAAGCCACGGGATGAGCACCACAAAGAGAAAGCCAAAGAATCATCACCACAAAGAGAAAGCCAGGGGATCAGCACCACAAAAAGAAAGCCAAAGGATGAGCACCACAAAGTGAAAGCCAAGGGATGAGCACCACAAAGAGAAAGCCAAGGGATCATCACTACAAAGAGACCAGGGGATCAGCACCACAAAGAGACAGCCAAGGGATCATCATCACAAAAAGAAAGCCAAGGATCAGCACCACAGTGGCATTGAGGGATCAGCACCACAGAATAGGCATGTGTTTCTTGTTGATGGAGAGACAAAACTATCTTTTGTCTTCTTAAAAAGGAAATAAGCTTAGTTTTTCTCTTCAATCAAGTGAAAAGACACCTTTTAGGACTTAGGGGAATTCACCTCAAATTTAAGGATAGCTAATTGGACAGGAGCCAAATGTTTTGCTTGGGGAATTTAGTAGAAAAAGAAGAGAACAAAGAAACTAATTGCGTTTGTGAAGTGTTTTACTAAGGGCAGGAGAGCGTTTTGCACTTAGTTTTTGTCTGTAAAGAGTTTGTTATTTTGCCTTTTATTAAAACCTTTCTGTTTCCAACACTGTCACAGAAGCCATTCTGCTGATTTTATGCCTTCTAAGGTAGCTGAGCTATCTTGGGTGTGAAAGAGACTTCCAAGAGTTTATAAGACCTGGCTCAAAGAAGCTCCTATTTCAGCACAGTGAGAATAAGGGATCAGCACTACAGTGAGAACAAGGGACCAATCCCACAGGAGTTACCCAGAGCATGGCCACAGCTCCGGCAGGGTTCGCTCAGGTTGGTCACTGGCTGCTGCAGGTCCATTCGGGGGGCTGTGGGGGGGTTGGGGTTCTTCCAGCCATTGCACTTGCAGGCATCGTTGGCCTGGGAATAAGGACAGCAGTGGTTGTTGCAGTGGCCAAAGGATTTCCCTGGTTCCCACCTACCCCTCTTCACCCAGCCCAGCTTTTCTCAGCCCCCACCACCCCAACACTGCCCCGTGCAGCCCCAGGACTCGGCAGCCCCTGCTCAGTGACATCCCTGCACCTCCCTTGGGTAACTCAGCACTCCCATCCTGCACCCCATGTACATCCCAATCCCGCGTGTTTTGTCCATTTATTCCTTCCATTCACCCCCCTGCACCCCTAAATTCCCCTCCTACACCCCTCCTGTATCCCCCCTCATGTCAGCATCCTCATCCTCCATCCCTCACCCGTGCACAGCACTGAACCCCCACTCCCGCATCCCACGCCCCTCCCCGCATCCTCCACTCGTGCACA